CCACATATCAAAATGAAGAGTGGAATTTTTGGTTAAAAATGACATCTTGCCTCCATTGAATTTCAATGATTTTGATTTTTGCATTGAACGTGTTAAGGGGAATTTGGTTAATAAATGTAAAGAGGGTTCAACTAGGAGTAAGCAACTCCTAGAAATAATACATATAGGCATTTGTGGTCCATTTCCTACATAAACAATTGAAGAAAATAAATATTTTAGTACTTTCATTGACGATTATTCTAGAGATTGCTAAATATATTTGACCCCAGAAAAATCAAAAGCCATGGAAGTGCTTAAAATTTATAAAACTAAAGTTGAAAATCAATTGGAAAAGAAAATTAAAATCGTAAGGTCTAATAGAGATGGAGAATATTACGATAGATATACACAAAATGGCAGTCATCCAGGACCATTTGCCTTGTTTTTACAAGACAATGGAATAGTGGCTCAATACACCAACCCAGGCACACCCGAGCAAAATGGGGTCGCAAAGAGAAGGAATAGAACCCTAATGGATATGGTAAGAAGCATGATTTGTAGGGTTTTCTTGCCTAAATATTTATGGGGAGATGGAGTAAAAACTGCAAATTATTTGTTGAATATAGTTCCTTCAAAAGCAGTAGAAAACACTCCATTTGAATTATGGACTGGAAAGAGACTGAGCTTGAATCATTTACACGTCTGGAGATGTAAAGCAGAAGCCAAAATTTACAACGCAGTGGTGTTAAACTTGATCCCAAGACAATTAGTTGTTACTTCATTGGTTATGCCGAGAGATCAAAAGGGTTTAAATTCTAGGCTTCTAGCAATCAAGGTCCTAAATTGTTGAGACAGAGAAAACAATATTTATGGAGCACAGTTTGGACGATGAGTCTGGGACAAATGATAATGATTTTGTGTTTAAAGAGGAAATAGACACTAGCACTACTATAGAACATACAAAGATTTCTTCTCTCAAGGCATCAATAGTGGCAACTGAATTTCCAAGGTACATGCATGATGACACAGAGGCAATTGAATTTCCAAGGCACATGCATAATGATACAAATGAAGTTGAAGGGAACGTGAATTCTGAGCAAGGAAATAAATTGGGAGCCATACCACCGATTGATAATGATGTCAATATCAACCGTGTCAATGAGCTTATGGACACCGAAGCATTACACATGCAAACACAGCAAGGGCAAGAGGGTGGCATAGTTGAAAATCAACCAATGGTCCTGAGGAAATCAACTAGGTTAAGGAGATCAATTGCCTTAGAAAATTTTGTGTACATGACTGAAGCAGCAGCCAACAACATTGATTTGTCAGAATTCGATGATCCCAAAACTTTTAAGAAGCAGTATCAAGTATAAATGCTACCAAATGGATAGAAGCAATGGAAAGTGAACTGGGATCGATGAAAAATAACGAAGTCTAGGAGCTTGTAGAGAAAACAGAAAACATGAAGCCAATAGGCTGCAAATAGGTATTCAAGACCAAAAGAGATTCGAAGGGAAATATAGAGAGGCACAAAGCGAGACTTGTAGCAAAAGGGCTTACTCAAAGAAGGGGAGTGGATTATAAAGAGACCTTCAGTCCTTTTTCAACAAAAGATGCACTTTGAAGAATGCATCTACATGAAGTAACCAGAGGGATTCTTAGAAGAATGGAATCAAAATTCAGTTTGTAGATTGAAAAACCCAATATATGGTTAAAACAAGCATCAAGACAATGGTATCTCAAGCTTTATGGAGTTGTTAAAGAGGATGACTTTGCTGAGAATCCTTCTCATAACTGCATATACTTGAGGATCAGTGGGAGTAGCTTCATAATATTGGTCCTTTATGTGGATGACATACGACTTGCAATGAACACATGTAGCTTATTGGAAGAAACCAAGAAATTGCTGCAAGAAAACTTTGAAATGAAAGACCTTGGAGAAGCTTCGTATGTTCTTGGTATTGAAATTAAAAGAGATAGGAATAATGGATTGCTGGGGTTATCACAAAAGGGTTACTTGGACAAGGTTTTAAAAAGATTTAACATGGCTTCTTGTCGCATTATTGAAATGCCAATTTCAATGGATAACAGATAAAGCAAGGAGCAGTGTCCCAAGAATGAGTTGAAAAGAAGAAACATTGAAGGCAAACCACATGCCTCTCTTGTTGGAAGCTTGATGTATGCACAAGTGTGCACAAGACTTGATCTTGCTTTCACTATCAGTGTTCTTGGGAGGTTTCAATCTGACGCAGGGGAGGCTCACTGGAATGGAGCCAAGAGGGTATTAAGGTACCTTCAAAGAACCAAGGAACATATGCTTATTTACAGGAAAACTGATGAGCTTGTGTTAGAAGAGTATATTGATTCATATTTTGCTGGATGTCCAGATGACCTTAATTCTACTTCGGGTTATATTTTCACTATGGCATGTGGTGCAGGTTTGTAGAGAAGTGTGAAGCAGGCAACAGTGGCTCTACCATGGTGGCTGAATATCTCTCATGTTGTGAAACTGTCAATCAAGCTATATGGTTGAAAATTTTCATTGCAGGACTTAGTGTAGTGGATTCTATTTCGAGACCAATTCAAATTTATTGTGATAACAATGCAGCTATTTTCTTTAGCAAGAACAACAAAAATCATTTTCAACAAGTAATTTAGATATCAAATATTTGATTGATCGAGAGAAAGTGACGGCAAGTTTGGTGAAGATTGATTACTTGGAGACCGGTTCTATGGTTGCAGATCCTTTAAACAAAGCAGTTCCAGTTGTGGTTTTCAAGAAGCATTTTGCAAAGATGGGTCTGTTAGCTAGTTTTGATGATGTTAATTAGTGGAAGCAAGTAAATCCTGGAACGTGTTTTGTTATCAGTTACTAGTTCATATGATAGGTATTTATGAATAAGTATTAATAAATTTTCTTCATTGATAAGGTTTCCACACTAACGAAGTCTTAAAAGTTGTGTGGTTGTTTCAAAGTTTTCCCTTTAGATGCACATCTTTAGTTATGACAGTACATGTATATTTTATTATGCATAATGGTTTTGACAATATTATGATTGGTCAGTAGGACAAACAACCAAGAGTTTCAATATGAAACATTAAGATAAATTGATCTATCGATTCTTAAGGGGACCAAGTGCAGGATGTGAGAAACTATACATCTACAGACACATTTTACACAAAATCTTGTGGGAGTTCAATGTGTTAGTCAGTTTTGTGAATGTAATTATGGGGATTTTGTTCGACGAATTGAACAGGTTACCCCTTAGTTCTTCATGAATACTAATTAATTACCTGAACTTGTATTAGTGATTCAAGTTGGTGCTGATCTCGTGAATCAAGTGTTAGCTCCAGTGGGATAATGTAAGTTCTAATGAGAGCTGAACACTTGATCATCTTTAGTTTAGAGACGTGAGGATATAAGATATTGGAATTAACTAAGGTTGTAAGCTGATAAGGAATTTGTATAATAAGGGTTTCAGCTAAAACAGTCACGATAGTGTTGAAACACTTATAATGGATGTGAATGATAGGTTTTCTTGGTGATATGGTTAGATTATTGATTAGGATTGTATAATTGGAAGAGTCCTTATCAATCATCATCGTATGTAGTATAAAACAAGGGGTCCCTGCGCTCTCTCAATCACTCAAAATAAATAATACTCAAATCCCATTCATTGAGCGATTGCATCCAGTTGAGGAGAGCTGCAGAAGATCCCTAGTTTCCAAGAGATGTCTTCTTCAGTTTAATGGTTACTTTTGGTACTGTTAGGGTAAAATTGGCAATCCGTGACATAATGCCTGAGTCTGTAATGGCTTAGACTTGTTATACATTTTCAATTGTAATAGTTTAAGTCTAGGAAGGGTTCTCACACTTTCGATGCAAAGATGTTATCTACACGCGATAAATATGCAGGTACGTTTGCATGCATACATCCAACTACATTCATCTATATCTCATGTTATTGTTTTTGAGATAGGACTCTTAACCATTGTGTGGTTTATCTCTTTAAAATATCTTATTCCTTTATATTCGAGATTTTAAAGCATGCAAAATAGTCTAATTGCATTAGGACTAATCTGATGGTATTGAGACTTTTCAAACCGTGTTATCAAAACGTGTTTGGGTGTTGGTAGAGTTATTGATCAATATGGATTGCATGGTTGTCATTGTTTTTAAAAAGAAAAAGTTGTTGCCGTGTGTATCTAGGAGTTGTGGTTTTAGTTATGAAATCTTATCAGTTTAAAATTGGTTCCCGTGCATTGAGGATTGATAAGGAAGCTTTGAAATTGTTTCAATGACAAGCCGCATATATGCATGTTTTTCTTGAAAGATAGATGAGCAGCAACTTTGTGATTTTAAAGAATATAACATTATTTTTCAGTGGCTGCCAGATTGTGGTTTTTCATTAGCATGTGTTTTTAAAGGGAACCATTTTATGCATAGAAACTGATTTTATTGAAAAGGATTTTCGAAGAAACATCAGTTGGGTTTTTCGTGTGCGTGGAAAAATAATTGAAATACTGGTGTTTGCTTATGGTTCCAACAGCATGGGTTTTTAAGAGAAGATATTATTTTTCATGCTGTTTTTCTTTGAGGTTTTAAATTGAATATCAATTATGGAAATGAGCCTTGTGATTTTCGTAATTGATTGTTTTCCAAACAAACACTTCATCATATAAACATTCTGCATGATCGAGTTAGCATTGTGCAAAGTTTGAGGGAAAGGTGATTGACGGTCGCGTTAGTACCGTGCCACTTCAACTCGAGGACTGAAGAAAGTTCGAGTAGCAAAGCGCGGAGACAAAGCTGCCAACTGGTATGAGTGTCTAGTTGATGAGTTTTGTAAGTCTTTATGTATTCTTTCTTTCTTAGTGCTTCCTGGCTTGGTAGCCCGAGGATTTTCCCAGTGGTGGGTTTTGCCTCGTTAAATCCTACATCATGTGTGTGCTTTTTATATTCATGTTGAATATTTGTGTAGGATTAATTTAGCATAACTGATTAATCGAAACCATAATTTACTTTAGCGTTAAGTTGTCATTTATAGATTAAGTTAGTATCCATCCTAGGACTTTCAGGTACTGTGATTATTGTATTCCTCTTACTTTATTTATATTGATCTTACAGTTGTTACCATAGCTTTATGTGGGCTATACTTGGTACAGTTTCCGGGTCTGTGCGCTGAAACTTGCAACTGGTTGTTTCGCCTGGATCACAGTCAATTCTGTTATTGCCAGATTCATCATAGCAGAGGGCGACTTGGGCCAAATATATTAATTTCTTGCTCTGCTTCTGCATTTGTTGATAGCATCTGATATTGACGGAATGTTCGCCAGTTTCGGACTCAATGGCCTTTGTTATCTGATCGATGGAGTACAATTTGTATAACGACATCTTTGGCTGAAGTGGTTGGGGTACAATATTAGCCTTCTGCAGGATTTGAGCTATATCAAAATCATGGTACGTCGCTAGGGTCTTCCGGAAGTACTCGGTCTTCGGGAACACGTTGTCGGAGCACTTTCCGTGCTTATCATACTCTCTTTGCCAGAATTCGACATGCTTCCCTTTTTTCCAATCCCACCACGAACTGAGTAGCTCCTTTTTCAGTGCATCATCCATCTACATATATTATTTAATTAAAACATAAGAAGAAAACTAGTTAAGAATACACGTACATACACGGAAACACACGTACATACACGGTACACATGCAGGGAGATATATAATGATACATATATATACATACATACACACACGTAGGGACACACATGAATATTAACTATTGAGAGTTAATTTGTGAATAATTACCCCATTCACATTAAAGGCATCCCCCATGCAGGTAAGGGATGAAGAGGATGATTTATTCGCAGGCCAGAGACCATGAATAGTGAACTGAAGATGAGATGGTTGCATGATGTGGCATTTATTCACCCCCCCTATAGCTTGGCATTCAGCAGCTGGCCAGAACTGAACATGCATAAAGTATTGGAATGGTGTGTAAGCGGATGAAACTGTGACAAACAAGAAGAAAAATATGACTTGTACTAACTTTGACTCCATTTCTATTTCTACCTGATGTTTTGAAGACGAAGTTGCATGTATTTATAGTACCTATGGGGTGGAGGTGGAGGTGGAGGTGGTGAAGGGGTTAAAATGAAACGATCGAAACAGATGCGAAATTGCGAAAAACTTAATTAAGTAACATTCCTACTCCCACTACAAATGAAAATCAATACAAGTCTGCAATTCAGTATATAACTTGTTACATATCACTATCAAGTTTTCAATTTATAGGCAAAAGAAACTGCATGCATGTGTGGACATGCTGTGAGAAATTTGTATCCAACACAGATTATTGTTTTGTTTCCATTTCAAGAATTCACCAACAAATAACACATATACATTTTCAAGTACTCCATCACGACCATTACACATGCCACCTTCCCCATCTAAAGAATAAGTTAATTTCTAATCAAGCCAAGGTTGCTCACGAGAGGAACCTTCATTCGACCTGAATGTCATGAATATCAATCAATAAGAAACCCACTTAGTTTTATGGCTTTTCTTCCCTTTATGGTAAATATGGAATTAAATTGAAAAATTCTTAATTATATACAAATCATTTGCCTATGATATTGATGTTTAAAATACTATCTTTTCTTCTTTTTTTTTTTCCTTTTTTTTTTTTGTTGAATTGTAGAGGCTATTTCTACGAAAAATATTTACTTAACATCTTCATTTAATTACCTATAAGATAGCTAGGTAGCCATCGATCTATCTTCAATGAAGATACCAAGTCAATTATATACCTAAAGCAAAGATATAAACACGATTTTGAGTTATCACCATAACAAGTTCTAAAACATGTAGAAGCAAAAAGAATATATACTACATGTAGTTAAGGTTCTCACCATGCCAAATTTCAATACAAATGATTCCTCCATATATGGTACAATAACAAAAACAACAAACTCAAAATTCAAAATTCAAACCAAACAATACAAAACCAAAATAATATGTACAATAATGACAAATAAAATATGAAAAAAAATGGTATTAATATTGCGTGGTTTACATGCGTTGCTCACAAAATGGGAAAAATAGATGTAAAAAAAATGAATGACTCAACCTAAAAATTAGCTTACTCATCAATCTAAATATGGAAAGTAAATTGGGGGTAGCAATGTAGTCAATGGGTTTAAATTGAAGAAATAAAATTTAGAAAAAAAATGCTTATCGTTTTTAAGTCCTAGGCCTAGGCTAATCTTATAATAGTATACTTTAAATAATATCCTTAATAATAATGGTAGAGGAAGGGTGTAACCGTGTAATAAGATAATCTTACATTCTTAATAGAAAGTAGGGTTGGCAGATAAGATGCATAAATACTTTTTACCAAATTTAAAATAAGAAATATAGATAGAATGAATGCATATCTCAAAATGGATATTATTCATATCTATTCCATATGGAATGCAAATATTCTACATTAATTTCTCAAATAACGTATCTTCAGAGTATGATTTGAGCTAAAGTTAAGTCTTGCCTAATCCACATTCGCCATGTGGGTATCACATGACGGAATAAAATGAACTTGGGCTAAAATCAAATAACACGACACCCACAAACAAATAATGAATTATATTGAGCCGACCTAGCTGTAAGGTTATTGGGTCGAATAACACGTCTCACACTTGGCCGTATCCATCCAACCTAAGACGACATTCCATTAGAGTTGAATGGATACGCTATTATAGTATGTGATCATCATATGGACCAGACTTGTAACACTTGTGAATAATAGGGTAATACTTGTGATTAAAGCAGCTGATATTAATGATTTAAATCCTAGGCTAAATCTTATGATGGTGTAATTTAATTAATATCCATAATACTAATGGTTTAGTGTGGGTGTAACTGTGTAATAAGACCATCTTAATTTTCTAATAGAAAGAGTGGCAGATAAGATGCATGCATACCTTCACCAAAATAGAACAAGAAATAGAGACTACGTATGCATATCTGATAACACTAAAATGGACATGATCGTAAACATTCTACCTTCCCCGAATAACGTATAATTACAGTATAACTCAAACTAAATTCAAAGCCTAATCTACATTCGCCACGTGAACATGACGTGACGGAATAAAATGAACTTAGACTCAAATCAAATAACAGAAGAGGCCCGCAAACAAATAATGAATGTTAGAGTCGGCCCAAATTTTGAGGTTGTTGGTTCGAACAATGCAACTCTCACACCTATCATTTTATAAAATTAAGGTGTTTTATAAGGTGCGGACTTTGCGGACCTTGCATTAGAAACAAATCCCTCCCAGTTGCTTTGCACCCACTCGCAGTCATAGAGCAAAGCAGAACAGAACGTCGGCCGGCGCGGCCTCCATCGATTCCTTCTCCTGCGGGGGTCTCTTTCATCTCTGATAATTTCTGCAACAATTAATTAAATCTTTACTTACTAATCTAAATCAGTTTCTATGATGATGATGATGATGATATACACACACACGCACATCAGCATGTATATAATTGAACCTTGCTTCCGAAAATTAATCAAAGTTTCGATCTATCAGTTTCCTGTATATGATTTGCCCCTATGGATGACATCGTTGCTAAAGTTGATCGGGTGGTTACTAAGAATTACTATCACCAGTGTGTTTTACTATGGATGGATTGAAAGGCTTTCCGATAACTAGCTCCGGAGAGGCCCAAAAACCTACAGAGAAAGAAGAGGAAGGAGGAGGATCCAGAGGCTCCGGTGGAACCGGCTCCGGAGAGGATCTTCTTCCGATATAAATCATTAAATCACTTGCTTTAATCACATATGTTGTTTACCCTCAATAGAAAGTTAGACAAAAGACTTAAAATCATTGACTAACATTTGCATTATTCACATGTATTGTATCCCCTCAATAGAAAGATAAAATATCCAAAACCATAAGCATTTGTTTAATATTTTATTTCTTCGATTTTAAACCCGTTGAGTACATTGCTACCCTCAATTTACTTTCCATTAATGAGTAAGCTAATTTTTAGGTTAGAGTAATTCTTTTTTTTTTTTTACATCTATTTTTACCATTTGTGAGCAACGAATGGAAACCACGCAATTTTTTTTTTTTTTTTTTTTTCATATTTCATTTGTCATTATTGTATATATTATTTTGGTTTTGTATTGTTTGGTTTGAATTTTGAGTTTATTATTTTGGTTATTGTACCATATATGGAGGAATGATATGTATTGAAATTTGGCACGGTGAGAACCTTAACTACTGTTGGAAATATTTGTGATAAACAAACCACAAAATTAATAATATTATATTATAATTTTATCACCACAATTTATTAAATAAAATAAATCAAATAAGATAAAATATTTATCTTTTGTAGGTAGAGAACACTCTTCGTCAATACTCGATTTGAATAAGATTTTAGGTTGAGGTGTGCAGTCACTATCCTTAAGAATAGATTTTGCCTCTCTAAGACAATATCTTGGTGTAATGGGTTATGGTGCCTTACCCTCAGGATCCAACAACCTATGACCCTTCATTAGGCATATGAGAGGTGAAATTATAATAGCATTTGAGAGAATACAACAAATCAAAAGAGGAGAGGAAGGTGAGATTCAACGCAAAAATGCCAACAATTCCCCACATATTTCAAAATACAAATTGAATCACAAAAGGAATTTGAGTAAAACAAGTTTAAAGAGGACAAGGAAATACGAAAGGAAAATGAGAATCCAACGCATCAACACTTGTGTTTTTTGGACTATGAACCAACCTTAGGATGAGTTAGTAGTAACTCACAAAAATTTGTAAAAAATTGAATTTTCAATGAGCCAATATTTCTTTGCTTGAATCATAGGACTAACCATCCACATTGAATCCTCGGATTGAGCATATTCCAACGGATTGGCGCGAACAGACCATGCACCCACCTAGAAATTCATGAGTGGCAGCCCCGCTCCCACACTCAAATAGGTGAATCCATCAAGTGTGCACTGTAGTCAAGCACACCACCCATATATAGGCTATGGTATTCATTAAGAACATAAGTTCAACCTTAGACGTCAAAGTAGTTGCATTATCTGCACCATAGAGATTGACTCTCAACAATAATAACATTAGATATAAATTGATAATGCACGCCCAATCAACAAGTGACTTGTTCTTACCCATATGAACCTACTTCATGGCATCTCCATTCACATAGGTTGGGTTACCATCACTCTTGATCGATGTTATAGGCATACGTCTCATCCCCTTGATGTCATAATCATCACTAGCATTTAGCTTAGTGGATTTGTCAGATGATTAGCTAAATCCAATTCTGACGTCAAAACAATTATGTCAAGTACATATGCATAAGTCATTTAGCTTAATGTCCTCATAGCTATGATATCACACACAATAAACCAACTAGTCTCTTCCCAGACAATGGGATATCTCAAACCAAACAAAGTGGTCTCTTCCACAAATAGTTGGATAGCTCAATAATAGATATAGAAAGAAGTCGTCTCTTGTCGTTCACATTGTCTTCTTTATAAGATTACTAGCCGGTGTTTCATAGTGAAACTGCTCAAATATACTATCTACAAGCTCTTGTACAATTGATCAAATACGTACAATTGATCAAATACATATCAACACATCGCCATATGAGGAAATGCGATGAAGAGCCAGATCATTGAATTTTATGACATACTCATCAGCACACAACAGCATGCTAGCAAACTTTTCAAGGCACCTATCCAATATTGAAAAGAGATCCTCAAAGAAACTGCCGCCAATGAAACACCCAGATATTGAGGTGCAGAGAGAACAATAGAGGGAGATCCAGAGTGTGATAACTTGTTCAAGCTCAACCTGTATGTGATGTGAAGCATGAGATTCTTTTGAGGGGCTTCCAAGCTCTGCAGACATAAAGTATTTCGGACTACAGGAGCATACAACAAGTGGATAGGACAACAGATCGCACATGGCAAAACAACATTTGTAGTCAGACTCCATTTTCAATGACGAAAAATCCTTCATATCATCAATATAGAACTTCAAACC